GTATATGTGCAAGCCAAACAGGGATGGGCTTTTGCCTGCATCCCTGCCATTAATATAGTGGCTTAGCCAAATGGCTGTAATACTTTGGTACCATCACATAATAGTCTTATAGATTTTGAGATATTTATATCTTAAGAAAAGTCTTAAAGAGTCAAATGAAAAACCAAAATATTTTGAGATTAGTAGCAATAGAATAGAACCTTATTTTTTATTTTCCTCTGTCCCATACCAGGTGGCTCTTCTGATACGACTCAGAGATTTTGGGCTTTCCTTTAACAAGCATGCATAGGTTTAGAGAAGGAGAAAGCCATGCTCCAACCCCAAAAGCCAGCTTTAATTTTTAATTGAATTGGGACCACATAAAGACCATTTGTTTTTATGTCTGTAGAGGGCAGCAGAGACAAATTGGAAGTAGGCAATACCACTTGGCCAATTTACCTTTTCTTGGGACATTTTCTCTTGACGATCAGTCCTTTTTCTTCAGATGTTTCATTTGTCCAGTGTTCTCCAAATTGCTTAGTTAGATGCTTCTATTCTTCTGGAAAGATAAAAGCAAAACCCTTCCTCAACTCTTAACTCTGGGGTTTGCTTTTTTTAGCAGGTTATATCTTTCCGTGGGTAAAATGCTTTTTTGTTTTTTTTGTCTTTTGCTGTTTTTTTTTTTTTTTCAACAGAAAAAGTATTATCTTTCAATTGAAAATTTTTAATTTTTTATTTTTTTATATTATTTATTACAATTTATTTATTTTGTATTCAGGCTGTGGCCCTCTCCCTCGTCTTCTCCCAATCCCACCCTCTTTCCAATTGAAATTTTAAAAATGGTTTTGAAAATTTAGAACTAAATATACCATAGTATGTGTGGATAAATATACCTATATTCTCTTTTCTCTTTATGTATAAATTCAAGGTTTAAATTATTTACTTTTAGATCATGGAAGACATTCACTTTGAATTTTAGCCTGCCTTTTGCAAGGGTTTTTTTTTTTTTCTTTTGATATTTACACATTTTTAAAAATTTTTATTAATTACAGTATATTCACTTTGTATCCCAGCTGTAGCCCCCTCCTCCATCCCCTCCCAATCCCATCCTCCCTCCCTTTTCTTCTCCTGTGCCCCTTCCCCAGTCCAATGATAGGGGAGGTCCTCCTTCCCTTCCATCTGACCCTAGTCTATCAGGTCTCATCAGGACTGGCTTCATTGTCTTCCTCTGTGGACTGGTAAGGCTACTGCCCTGAGATTTCACCTTATACCCATCAGAATGGCTAAGATCAAAAACTCAAGTGACAACACATGCTGGAGAGGATGTGGAGAAAGAGGAACCCTATTCCATTGCTGGTGGGAATGTAAACTTGTACAACCACCTTGGAAATCAATCTGGCGCTTTCTCAGACAATTAGGAATAGTGCTTCCCCAAGAGCCAGCTATGCCACTCCTAGGCATATATCCAAAAGATGCTCAAGTATACAACAAGGACATTTGCCCAACCATGTTTGTAGCACCTTTATTTGTATTAGTCAGAAGCTAGAAACAACCCAGATGTTCCTCAGTTGAGGAATGGATACAGAAATTGTGGTACATTTACACAATGGAATACTACTCAGCAATTAAAAACAAGGAAATCATGAAATTTGCAGCAAATGGTAGGATCTAGAAAAGATCATCCTGAGTGAGGTATCCCAGAAGCAGAAAGACACACATGTTATATACTCACTTATAAGTGGATATTAGGCACATCGCTTTTAAATTTAAATCACTGTAATTCCTGTGTGCCAGCCTGTGCCTCCCAAGTGTTGGGATTAAAGGTGTGAACTACTACCTTAAAATAGTTATTCTCATAGGTTGTCCTGGTTAATTTGGTTCTCCATTTCCCTTTATTTTTTTAGTGTTAGAAGTAAACTTTCAAGTTTTTAAAATGTGTAATCTATAATTTTATTTGATTTTTTTGTTTTTTTTCAAGACAGGATTTTTCTGTGTAGCCTTGGCTGTCCTGGACTAACTTTGTAGACCAGGCTGGCCTCGAACTCACAGTGATCCACCTGCCTCTGCCTTCCAGAATACTGGGATTACAGACATGCTCCACTGCACCTGGCTTATAGTTTTTGCTGATTTTTTTCTGAATTTATTTTCTGGCAAATTTTAGTATTCTAGTCTTAATTAAACAATTTTCTCACTATTTCATTATTTTTAGATGTTTTATCTGTGTCGCCTGTATGAGTTCCATAAAATTTGATGTATTTTCTAGTAAGTTTTGCCATTTCCATTCATGCCTCCCATGACCAGATGTCTTGCCATTTATCTCTGTCATCACCACCCAGATTATTTATTTAAGTTTGAGACAGGGTCTCACCTACCCTGTGCTGTCCTGGAACTTGCTCTTAAGGGTGTGTGTTCAAGGATGACCTTGAATTTATGGCTCCCTTGCCTCGACCTCCTAAAGGTTAGGATTACAGGAATGAGTCACCATGCCTGACTTCAGAATTGATGTTTCTGTCAGTCTATGTTATATAATAATGGGTTTCATAATGATAATTTTGTACATGTACGTAATGTATTTAATCATGTTCACTCAGCTTTCTCCCTCCACCTTTGCTAATCTTCCTCTTCTCAACTATCCCTCTTCTAATTTTGTGTCTTGTATGTGTGACTGTGTAAGTTACTTGACTTGTGGCTGTGATATAATTCCCTGATATAGTAAGTAGCCTGAGAAAGGTCACTTGGCCTACAGTTTCCGGTGCAGGCCACCATGGAGAGGAAGACATGGCAGCAAGAGCATGGTGTTTTGGGCTCATCACATGGCATTCACAGGACACACAGAGGTGAATTTTAGTGCTAGACTCCTTTTCTCCTTTTTTAATGTCCACACCTCAGCCTATGGAATGGTGCTGTCCACTGTTAAATCCTCAATTAAAACTAACTTACCTCAATTAAACTAATCTTGATAATCTTTCCTAGGATGCTCACAGGCTAACCATCTATACCTGATCCCTCATAGGCTTGTGGTCATTCCAGATCTTGTTAAGTTGACAACCATATTAGCCATCATGGTGACTCATAGAGTTGATTACAGGAGTGTGGGTGACTGTTTATAGGAGGATAGACACATTCCCACTGTAGAAAATGTCTCTCTAAACAGAAACTTGAAATAAATCCTTAGGGAAGAGGGCTTCCCCATGAGTCCCTCCGCTCAAACTTATTTTCAAATTCAACTTAAAAACTTATTTATCAGTTTCGGTGTGATGCATGTCACGTGTGTGGCCTTCAGAGGCCAGAAGGTGTCAGGTCCTGGAGCTGCGGTCACAGGTCGCTGTAAGCTGTCTGTGTTAATGCTGGAACCAAGTTAAGGCCTTTGGAAGAGCAGCAAGCTCTTACCTGCTGAGCCATCTCTTAGAACTGAACTTGATCTAGAGTTTTACTAAAATGCTCAATTCCCCATCTCAAAAGGCAAAGAGGATGGACATCAGAAGATGAAGAAAACAGGAACCTGCCTGCCACAGAGGGCCTCTGAAAGGCTCTGCTCTGCAGACTATCAAAGAAGATGCTGAGACTTATGGCTAACTGTTGGGCAGAGTGCATGGAATCTTATGAAAGAAGTGGGAAATAGTGAGATCTGAAGAGGACAGAGCTCCATAAGGAGAGCAACAGAACCGAAATATCTGAGCACAGGAGTCTTTCCTGAGACTGATACTCCAACCAAGTACCATGCATGGAGATAACATAGAACAGATGTAGCCCATGGCAGTTCAGTATCCAAGTGGGTTCCATTGTAATAGGAACAGGGACTGCCTCTGACATAATCTGATTGGCCTGCTCTTTGATCACCTCCCCCTGAGTGGGGAGCAGCCTTACCAGGCCACAGAGGAAGACAATGTAGCCACTCGTGATGAGATCTGATAGACTAGGATCAGAAGGAAGGAGAGGGGGACCTCCCCTATCAGTGGACTTGGGGAGGGGCATTGGTGGAGAAGGGAGAGAAAAGGTGGGAGAGGAGGTGAGAGGGGTTTATGGGGGGATACAAAGTGAATGAAGTGTAATTAATAAAAATTAAAATAAAAATTTTTTCTACTATATTTTTCCAATCTATTCCTCTCTCTTAAAATTTTTTTAAATTAAAAAATGTTTTTATGTGTATGAGTTTTTTGCCTGCTTGTATACTTGTGTACCACATGAATGCCTGGTATCCAGAGGGGCCAAAAGATGTTGGGTCCCCTGGAATTGGAATTACAGACAGTAGTGAGCTGCCATTAGGTACCAGGAATTGAATCCAGGTCCTCTGGAAGTGCTATCACTGGCCCTTTCAGAAAAAAATTTTAAATATTTATTCTGTGTGTGTGAGAGAGAGTGTGTGTTTGTATGTATATATGTATATATGTATGTATATATGAGTGTGTATATATATATGTGTGTGTGTGTGTGTGTATGTGTGTGTGTGTGTATGTGTCCTTGTATCCTCACCTGTGTATACATGTGAGCACATAGCCAAAGTTGGGTTTTTGCTTCTACCATATATGATCCAGGGATCAGACTCAGTTTGTCAGACTTTTCAACAAGTACCTTTCTTTACTGATACGTGATCATTGCACTGGTCCTCATTTTTTTTCTTCTCTTTTCTTTTTTGAGACAAGATATCACTGTGTAGCCAAGCTGCCTCAGCTGCTTTAGTGCTGGGATTTTAGGAATTCACCACCATGACCAGCCACAACTATGCTTGCCATTATTGGAATAATTGTGCTGTATCTTTCCTCCCTGGAAGGATACTCAAGGGAAAGGCAGCAGTGATGCCTCACTATAGTCCTCTAAGTGGTTGTAACTTCATGTGTGGCACAACTTTGTGGGGTTGGGGGAGAGAGACAGAAATTTGCCAGTACTATCTTTTTTTTTTTTGTATGTGTACATACATACCTTCAATCTTAGTGACCCGGCGAAACTGCCACTCTAAAGGAAGAGCACAGTTGAGTTGTGCTGGATTCTGAGGTTGACCCTGGTTTTCTTTGTCACTGCAGACGGTGTGTCCAGGTAGTGCACAAACTGCTGTGTTACCAGAAGAAATGTCGAGTTCGCCTGCATTACACCTGGCGGGAGCTCTGGTCAGGTAACGCTCCATCTTGAGCTAGTTCTCTTCCTCTGTGCTTCTATGAATCCTAGGCTTAGGCGCACACTTACTAGTAGTCTTTCTAGCCCCACAACTTGTTAGAATGATTCTGTTTTCACTCACCCACATCTCTTCTCTTTTTTTATTAATTACACTTTATTCACTTTGTATCCTCCCATAAGCCCCTCCCTCCTCCCATCCTAATCCCACCTCCCCCCCTTCTTCACGCATGCCCCTCCCCAAGTCCACTGATAGGGGAGGTCCTTCTCTTCTTCCTTCTGATCCTAGTCTATCAGATCATCAGGAGTGGCTGCATTGTCATCTTCTTTGGCCTGGTAAGGCTGCTCCCCCCTCAGGGGGAGGTGATCAAAGAGCAGGCCAATCAGATTATGTCAGAGACAGTCCCTCTTCCCATTACTATGGAACCCACTTGGACACTGAACTACTATGGGCTACATCTGTGCAGGGGTTCTAGGTTATCTCCATGCCTGGTACTTGGTTGGAGTTATCAGTCTCAGGAAAGACTCCTGTGCTCAGATATTTCGGTTCTGTTGCTCTCCTTATGGAGCTCTGTCCTCTCCAGATCTCACTATTTCCCACTTCTTTCATAAGATTCCATGCACTCTGCCCAACAGTTAGCCATAAGTCTCAGCATCTTCTTTGATAGTCTGCAGAGCAGAGCCTTTCAGAGGCCCTCTGTGGCAGGTTCCTAACTTGTTTCCTGTTTTCTTCATCTTCTGATGTCCATCCTCTTTGCCTTTCGGGATAGGGATTGAGCATTTTAGTCAGGGTCCTCCCTCTTGATTAGTTTCTTTAGATGTACAGATTTTAGTAGGTTTATCCTATATTATATGTCTATATGAGTGAGTATATATAATGTGTGTCTTTGAAACTGGAATCACAGACAGTTGTGAGCTGCCATGTGGTTGCTGGGAATTGAACCGGGGTCCTTTGGAAGTGCAGACAGTGCTCTTAACTACTGAACCGTCTCCCCAGCTCCCCCCCCCTTTTTTTTTTTTGACATTTCAATCTTGTTTGAATCTAGACTTCTGCATGCTGTGTGGTCCACTTTCTTTCCTGTTCCTTCTTCCCTATACTGTTGTTTGTTTAGAAACAATTGATGGTTTTTTGAGTTCTAGAGCTAAAGATTATAGCTTGCGGTAGGGCGCTTGCCTAGCAAGCATAAAGCCCTGTGTTTGAGTCCTAGCACTGAGAACAAAAGGAAAAAGAAAAAAAAAAACCCAAGAGGGTATAATTTGTTAGCCAGGTATGATGGCACAAATCTGTGATCTTAGCACTTAAGGGAGAGGTAAGAGGATCTTGTAAGTTCAAGGCCAGCCTGGGATCCATAGTGACTTCCAGGCCATCCAGTACTGTGTAGTTAAACCCTGTCTTAAAAAACAAAACCAGTCAAATGAAAATGTCTTGAGTCTCCAAGCTTCTGACTTTATGTAGCAGTAGTGAGGAGGAGTCAGTGCGGTCTTGGATTCTCACCCTCTTCCATTTGGTAGCAGCATATGGACTATAGGGAAGCTTCTGTGTGTTTCCTCAAGATGAGTAACTCAAGAGGAATGGCATGAGGAGGGGGGTGGGGGTGGGGATGGGGGCGGAGAGAAGGGGGAACCCTCTTTTGTTACATCTTGGCATTATTACTGTTTACAGACTATGTAGCTGGTACCACTCCCCCTGTGCCAGAGACAAAACAGAAAATTACAATGTTTACTTTTGTCTTTATATCCATTTGGTAACCCAGTAAAGTCACTTCCACCCCTGCAGGCGGGAAGTGGCTCTTCTCTAAGGGTACAGCTAATGTTAGCTTGCCACCCTTTCTTTGTGTGACTAAATTGGAGGTTTGGAGAAAGCAAAGATTGTTCTCTGAGGCAGTTTCTTGCTGCTAGGTCCTGTGGCTTTGTGACCTGATGGATAACAGTTTTCTCCAGATGATTACAGTGATGAATGGCGGCCCCGCCCATGGGGTGTTTCTCTGTATTCCCAGCAGAAGAGTGTGTGTTAGTGTCAGGGGCTTTGTAAGAAACAGGCCAGAAGCCCAGCCCCCTTTCATGGAATTCATCTCTCTTGTTGTGACACATGGTTTCCTCCCAGCTTAATTTGGCTTGCTAAATTTAGTCCTCCATAATGGGAAGTACAGATCTTTAATTAATGGATTAGCAAGGTTTTTTCAGCAGTTACTGTGTATGATGATAAGAGGGAGGGCTGGAGAGTCACACTAATGTGGCAACAGTGGCAATTTGAGTTGGAGTTTTAGCACAGAAGAGTGCAATCATGAGAGTTTGAAACTGAGGGCATGTTAGAAGAGAGACTGAAAGAGATTGAACTGGCTAAACTTATCCAAAGTGTGTGTGTGTGTGTGTGTGTGTGTGTTGTTCGAGACTGGTCTTGCTGTGTAGCCCAGGCTATCTGTGAACTCAAGTCTTTCTGTCTCAACCTCTCAGATGATAGAATTATAGGTGTGTGTCATCCACACCTGTCGAGTTAGCTGAATATAATATTTTTTAACAGAAAGGACTTTTATTATTTCATATAGATAATAACATAATTATACAGCTCTGAAAGTCTAGAATGTAAAAGAAAATAAAAACAGTGCACATTTGTATATTTGGTGCCGTTGTGGTCTGTAGAGCACATGCCAGTGGTTAGGATCTAGCTGAGATGAAGTTAAATGTAATAGTTAAAAATTCTGTTGCAGCAGAAGTTGTCTGCTGCTTCTGGTTCTCATCTAGTTTTATCCTTTTATTTCTTGATCATTCTTACTCTGGCCCCTGTGGACTGGCTAGCTTTTCTCTCATTCTCATCATCCTGTCCTTTCACTTACTGCCCTGTATCATTGTGTGCTGCACACTGCTTTCTGCTACCCCTTGTTCTGTTTTTCTCAGTTCTTTCAGGCTTATGATTGTCTACTTCTCTTTCATATTTCCTGTCATGTTGTTTGTTGAGACAGGGTTTCTCTGTGTAACCCTGGCTGTTCTAGAACTCGCTCTGTAATGTAGGCTGGTCTTGAACTCAGAGATGTGTTGTTAATCCCACTAAATGAGAGTAAATACCATTACCCAAATTCTTTTAGTAGAAGTAAGCAAGCTTTATTTTCTGTCAGACAAAGTTGTCTCCCTAAAGCAGGGCTGGAAGGAACATCGTTGATCATAGGAGAGAGTGGGGCTTATATAGCTCAAAAAACTGCAAGGTTAGAGAATTTCCAAGGGTTGGGAGTTTTTTGTTATGTAGGAACTTGGCTGGCCATCTCAAACTTACTGGGCAGAACATCTTATCAGGGTAGAGGTCAGGGAGGGTGTGAAACATGTCAAATTCCAGGAAAATGAGCCAAGACATGGTCAAATTTAAGTTTTACAGAAAGGGGGGGGGGTGAATATCTTTTGACCTTGTAACAAGATAGTGTCTAATCGTAAGATGGAGTCAGGCTGGTCCATCACCACATGCCTCTGCCTCCCAATGCTGAACTTGCCTGTGGGTGCCATTACACCTGGAAGACTCCTAGCATTTTGTCAGGCTAATTAGTAACTTAAAAAACAGTTTTTTATCCTATGTTTGTTGGTTGACTTTGTGTCTTTGAGAGCTTCCTGTTATATTCAGCTCTCTGATCACTTCTTTCTTGATTTATGTTCAGCAGTCCTTGGTGTATTAAGGGAGGTTCATAGGGGCATAATTAGTGAGGCCTACATGACTGCTTGTTCTAGAGTCTCTGCCATGGGAGGTTAGTATCTATCTATGTGATAGATAAAAAAAAGAAGTCACATTTGTCTGTCTGTTGAATGTGTACATTACCCATGCTTGTGAAGAGGAGACAACTTAATAGAGTAATTTATCATCTTCTGCCAAGTGGGATCCAGGGCTAGAACTCAGGTTGTCAGGCTTGGTGACTTACAGTGACTGAGTGAGCTCTCCTGGAACCCTAGTTCTGTGTGTTCATACATGGATGAAGAGCAGCAGGTGTTAAGGAAAGCTGCAAAATACAACACTACATCCAATGCAGTTAGAGCCCATAATAATGTATAATATTGCATTCAGTGAACACAAGTGTGGCTGTGTTGGGTCCACCCACTCCTTGGCTGGCACTACCCCTCATATGTTGGAATGCCCATGTTTTCATTCTCTCTTTGCCGTCTAGATTTATGGATTTGAGGGAGGTGTGTGAAACTCACCATGGCAATTTTACCAGTGTAGATAAGTGCTTGCCCAATATATGTGTTGTGAAATATAAATGAATTTTATTTACAAATAAGGGTATAAGGCATGTAAGGTTAACTGGAATAGCCAGAAGCCCTTGAGCTTATAGGAGACACTCAGATTGGGTCCAGATGCCTCCTGTGTTTGGAACGTGGGTGTTCAGTGTCACTATACTTCTTCAGTGCTGATTTTTATTTTGTGGTTGCTCTTTGTTTTGGGGGAAAATTGCCAGGAAGTCTCCAAAATTCCTGAAATGAATTCTCAAAAAAAGTAGGTGTGTGAGAGGAAAAGGCCAGCTGTATTGGTAGGGGCTCAATCCCACTTTCTACCTTTTCCTACAGTTGGCTTCACATGTACAAGCCCTGACCCACTCCCTGCTGCTACCTTTTTGTACAGTGGTTGTTGCCATGGTATCTGAGTGTGTAGGAGGACATCTGTGCTCATTTCTGTTGGAATATGAAAGAAGAAAGTCCTGTGTCTGCTTTACCCTTCTTTTTAGTTACCATCATTTCCCCCCAAGATTTAGAAAGTGTGGGAACCCTCTTAATGATCTTTAAATGCCAGTCTCTGAGCAAAGCTTACTTAAAACTTGTCTCTGATGAAGACAGAAAGTGAGGTTCGGGGATCAGATGAGATGGTTCTTTATCTTTGAAACTGGAATGAAAGCAAGTCTCTGCATATCCAGAAAGCATCAGCTTGTATATACATGTACTATGTATAGTTTCAGGGAGTTCCTGAACCTTGTGAGGCTCCGTCATAATCTCAAACAGAAAAAAAAAAATCACTGTTGTGCCTTTGTG